GAGAAGAAAGGAAGCCAGTGCATCGTAGAAATGTCTAAATGCTCTGATCAGCCTTGTGTCCAGACCTTCTAGAGATGTCTGACTGCACTATTATGTCAAAATATTAAATTTTTGCACTGTTCTTGGCAAAACCAATGAGCTGACATTACTACCAGAGCCTTTGTCTCACTGTAGGATTAGGCAACATTGGATACTGTGCAACCCTATATACAGTCACAGATGTTCTGTACAACTTTCACCTTCAGTCTAGGCTGCTGCAAGTCATAGAATCATAGAATTTAAGGGGCTGGAATGGACCTTACAGATCATCTAGTCACAGCCTCCCCTGCCAAGGGCAAGGACACCTCCTCACTAGAGCAGGTTGCTCAAGGCCTCATCCAGCCTGGCTTTGAACTCTGCCAGGGTTGAGGCATCCACTAACTCCCTTGGCAACCTGTGCTAGTGTCTCACCACCCTCACAGTAAAAAACGTTTTTCCAATATCTAGCCTAAATTTCCCCTCCTTCAGTTTGAATCCTTTACCCCTTGTCCTATCATTGCAGTTCCTAACAAAGAGTCCCTCTCTGGCTCCCTTGTAGGCCCTTCAGATACTGAAAAGTTGCTCGGAGGTCTCCACACAGTCTTCTCCAGGCTGAACAGCCCCAACAGCCTCAGCCTGGCTTTCACGGGCAGAGGGTCCCAACTTTGTGGCCTCCTCTGGACTTGCTCCAATAGTTCCACGTGCTTCTTATGTTGAGGACACCAGAACTGTACACAGTATTCCAGGTGGGGTCAAGGTGGGATTAAGTTAGGTAGGAGGAAATCTACTCTGAGTTAGTGTCTATAAAGCACTGAAAGAGCCCAAGTAGAACTGATTGGAACTTGTAATAAAATTCTCCACAAAACAAAACAAAATAAACAAAAAAACCCCCAAAGAAAATAAAAGAAAGAAATAACAAAATAATAGAAAACACACAAACAAAAAAAACAGGTCAGATGAATTTTTCTGAAATTTCACTGGCAGAAACACTGTGCTTTGAAGAAATGTGGAGAAAAAGCTTTCTCCCAGCTTTCCTTCTCCTTGGTTACCTAACAGCAAGGGAAGCTCAGTCACACATTCATACTGACAACTCTTTCAGCCACACATAGAGATTGAAAGAACCACAAGCTGTTAAGCTCTGAAGACAGAATGCCATGTAAAATTAGTTTTCGTTCTTATGTGAAACTGTTCAGGCCTGTTCTCTTCTGCTATGAAAGGCTACCAGTGATTTTAGTGGTGCAATGGTGGATCTTCTTGTATGTTAGTTTGTTGGAGAATGGCTAAGAGAGCAGGGATATAATCCTGGGGAAGGCCAAAGAGAGCGAGGCCGCAGTCCCCTGGGAACGTACAGACACAGTCCTGGGAACGCACCTGGGAATGCAGTGTGTACAAGCAAGGCTCTGGAGATAGTAACTTATATATAGATAGGGAATAACTCAGCTGGGCAGATGGCAGATGGCAGGGGTAACTCGTCCTTGAGGGTGAAACAAACAGGTTCGAGAAAAACAGCTAAGAATGCACC